CATTAGAGATGAACGAAGTTCGGCTTGTGCACTATTCCCCTCCAGTATCTCAGCTTTTTTCTTATCTCTCTCATTCTAATGACCGTAATATGAACCATATGGGGTTTTTGTTGAAGCTGAAACCTCATCTTCTATATTTTATCCTGCCAGGTCGCACTGCCCTGAGTGAATTTGCATCTGATCGCGCCTTTTCATTTCACCTTGTATCCATTCACACCATCTCCACGTCTTCCTTGTGTTCTGCCTGAACACAAATGGGTCTAGATTAAATCCCCTTTAAAATCTTTTCATGTTGTGTTTGACAAATATGCACATTTCAGTGAAGAAAACAAAAAAAGTCATGCTATGGTGAAGCTGAATTTGAATTTAAAATTACTTTTAGTTATCCACTTACTACTTTTATAAGCTCTAAAATGTTAGGGGTGATATTAAGAGCACCTTATGAGTGAGTCATTTCCTTTAATTAATTGAAAAAAAAAATAGGTATACTTTTCTAATATTATATTTAAGTTCTTTCATAAAATACTTTCTCAAAACGCTTTATACTGTATCCATCAAACTGTCAAAATAGGCGGCAATGATATTTTTCTTTCTGCCTTTTCTGAGGTCAGTACTGAATCTTTTTTTTCAGAAATCATTCCTTCACTAAATATTTAAGGCTACCATTGGTGAGGACATCAGCAGCCTTCACAGTAGCCTCAGTCTGAGCGCATGCTCATTCAGCATCATGCTGCTTCTTCACAAATCAAGCCTGAAATATTCCCTTGTGTTGACCTGCTCAGTTCCTTTACCTGCGTCACTGAAGCCTAAGACAAGATGGTGATTGATTGCTTTCAGCAGGGGACCGGTGATGGAAATATCTACAGTCCAGTGGAGGAAAAAAACAGAAGAGGGATACAAACACAGAGAGGCTAGCCTTTAGAAATGACTCTTTTATTTTTAACTAAATTACCCCAGATGACCCAGAGATGGATATAAAAGACTTCTCTCTGACTTATTTATGTACTGTTAAAGCCACGGGAAAATATTGAATCGTGAAGTTTGTCCTGCCCCCCTATTTTCCCACTTTAATTTCATCATCTTTACTTCCTGGCTGACAAGCTCATTTCTCCATAGTTAGGAAATGCGAACACGACATGAGTTTCTAAACATGGAAATCAGCACTTCCCTCCATGTTGTCTATGATGTACGACTGATTGATTGATTGAGGTTATCGCTCGGTTACAAAGAGAACTGCCGACGTGTGGGCTATACTGAGCAATGCAAACACTATTACACTTAGCTGGGAAGAGCAAAACAAAAGATGACATGCAACAATGAAGAGAGAAATTAAAAAAGATTTTTTTGGAGCCAATTAACAGCCATTATTATTATTATCATTATTATTATTAGCAGTGATACCAAACATCTTCTTTGGCATGGTTTGCTGATGGAGGTAAAAGTAGGTCTTTGTGGCAGTCACTCCTTGTATATTATAATCTAACTAACATTTCTTATTATAAGTAGCCTGAGAACATTTACATCATTTACATTTTACAAACACTTGACCAAACCGACAGCTTGGGTAGCTTAGAAGGACGTAAATTCAAGTTTGTGCATTTTATGAATTGTGAAGTGTTTTGGTGAGTTGTATGCATTAAATGCATAGCACTGGTCCTTGCACTGTTGTAATGCAGGACTATTCTCCCAGTAAGCTCTGGTTGACTTCACCCATGAAAAAAAGCAACAAAAATGGCAAAATGCCTAGATGAAATCAATGTAGGTCTCCAAGGTGTTGCTATTTTTTTTGTCAGTAATAAAATAAACCAAACAAAAGTCAGCATGTTTTATATTGGTTAAAAATTACACCTACGTGATGCTGTTGTGGGGAGTGGTCTGTGGCACCGCTGCGGGGAAGCTGACAAAACAGAGCGGCATCAGCAATTACGCCTCACCTGCATTGAGGAATGAACTGGGTTCTATTGTTGTGTACCTGTGGCTGGCAGCTGCAAAGCTTCAGCTGGGTGTTAATCTCGAAATTTCTACTTTATTCCCAAAATGACAGTTAATATTCAAACTCAAACACCGAGCTGACAGCACAACTGAAGCGGCCTCTGCCAAATACAAAATGCTGTGTCTGTTTTTTGGACACTTTTTGTAGTTTTAATGACCAAAAGTAATACTGCCAATCTGTTACAACACTAACAAACAAAAATATCCTGTCTGTGTGTGGGTTTGTTTGTTCATATTCATTAATCCTAATTGAGGGAAAATGTTTCATGAATTGTCTTTTTTTTTTTACTTAAAGTCATATCACCCAGCCTTAGCTGTAGCTGAAAACATCTGCACCAACCAGTACTGTTGTAACTATTGTTAAAAATGGACGCCTCTTAAATGATTGATTTTAATTTTTCCCCCATTGCATTGAAAATTGTAAGTATTTTCCAGGGTATCTCTACCGTTTGAAATTCTAGTATTGTAAAAACCCTAAAGGAAAGTGCCAAATAATTCATCAACATGTTATTATAGGCTCACCTTTAATTACAGATCTGACAAATCTCCAATGTAAAACCTTTAAATATAATTTCATTTCATGCAGTGGTCTTCAAACAAACAACAAGAGTAAGAAAGAGTGGAATAAGAGTGGAAAGGAAAAAATAAAAGAAGGATCGACTGAATAACAAAAGCAGAAAAGCGCTACAGCCTTAGAGGAGGGAAACTGTTCTTATGAAAACATTTTAAATAAGCCAAATAAAGACAGAGAGCCAATATGTGCAGGCAAACTCTAAGAAAATGGGCTTCATGTGTCAAAGCATTCAGAACCTACTACCCATGATGTGACAGGCAACATGGCATTCGGTGTAAAGCAACAAAGAGCACAGAGTATGCAAACAGTTCAGATCTCACTTCATATCAGTCAGTTTCACCATATATGTACATGTAAATCCAATGTTTGACTTTTCAATGACGTGCTGTGCCTTTTCAGATTTATAACATGTACTGTGGGCACAACTACTGCAGAGCTTCGAGCGGAGGGAAGTCATAGCAACAAGAAGAATGATGCAGAGAATAGCAAGGCTCAACATGCAGGAGACAAATCCCATTAAGTACACGGGTGAATATTATTCAGGGAAAAGAGATTTACCTTCATAAGCTGACGATTTTGAAATGTTTGGACTTGAAATTGTTCTCTTTGTGCTGTAAAACTGGGTTCAGACTGACACCGAAACTCAACAGTTTGCACTGAGGTTAGACTTTCCTCAAGAAACGGGAGTGCAGAGGAGAGAGAAAATCCTCTAACCCTGTTGTGTGGATGCACTGCGTGGGCTGCCAGGGTCTTTTACTCAGGCATCCAATAATATTGGTTAATTGCTAGATTTCTCTAGCCTCTCTCAACTTGCATCACGAGTAGGCGTGGAAGAGTTTACAGCAGGGGTATATTGCTGCTGACAGAATACAGTGTTCTCATTCACTCTCTCTCTCTCTTAATTGTCATTCCCCGCTCACAGGCACATTTCTCTGGCAGATTCCCTTGAGAGAGGTTTCCCCAGAATCTACGTAAAAGGATTCCTTCCCACGCCATGGTCTTAGGAACATCTTATTTTCATCCACCCGCGCTTTGCTCATGCACACACACACACTCCCTCTCACCCTGGCATTGTGTCCTTGTGTCTCCCTGCTCTCTCTTATATTTTCATTTTCTCTCTCTCTCTCTCTCTTGTTTTTTTTTTTGCCTCTCTCTCTCTCTCTCTCTCTCTCTCCATTTTTAACCCCCACACCCCCCACCAGTAACTTATAGATCCTCTGTGGGAGGTAGCATCTCCCTCACACAGCAGGCGTGGGCCCTTACTCTGACAAATTACATGCTGGGCCCACCAGCTTTGCGTGGGGGGAGAAAAGCTTTAAGTTAAGAAGGAAGAATGGCTCTGATTGGACAGTGGAACTCAGGGGCTGTATCTTGGCAAGCAGTATTTGATCGGGCTCAGGGAAGAAGTGAGAAAGTACAGGGAGAGCTGCAACACCGTATATCAAACCCACAGTATCCTTTAAGAAATGACCACAAACCACACACACTGCTTAAAACTGTCAAGCTGTCAGCTATAACAACAAAAACTGATGGCCAAACATTAGCCATGATAAGGTATAAACATTTGTCTCAACAGTGTGTAGCTTGAAGCTTCAACTTTGGTCTAGTTGATCTTTCTCAATAAATCACTTACAAGTGTTCCTTGGCTAACTGCTGGGCCAGAGAAATTGCTGTGGGATCTCGATCTAAGGCCAGGACCGTGACTTCAGGAACTGTGCTCAGAATTGCTTTGGTATGACCACCACCTCCAAATGTCATGTCCAGCACCACCTACATGTGAGAAAGCACAAGAACAGTTCTCACAACATGACTCCATATACGTGAATCATCTTTTATCATCACAATGTTAGTTCATCATTTAAGTGTTTAACTCACGGTGGTGCACTGACATGTGTCATGCATAGGCACCCACATTTTCACACATTGTCACCTTCCATTTTAGTCTGTGACACCATCTAGATCTGTATGGTAAAAAGTTCTGATTGGGGGAACTCCCCAGCCTCTTTATCAAGTTTAAAGTCTATACCTCAAGAACTATGGTACCAACAACAATAGGTGAAAGAGTGTGTGTTTATCCACATAACTTTTGAAGCACTTACCTGATTTTTAAAAATGAGGTCCAGGTTTTATATCATCAAACACATTTTAATACTACACAAAGATTACCATGGTAAATACAAAATGCAGTTTTTTACATGATGATTTTATTAATTAATGGGGAAAAAGGTTAACCCAACCCACCTGGCTCTGTGTGAAAAAAGTAATTGTCCCCAAAACCTAATAATGGGTTGTGCTAACCTCAGAGGCAAGAACTGCAATCAAGGAGTTGTTCATAATGTGCAATGAGTCATTGAGTTTGGCCCCATTATCCTTGCAGAATTGTTTGAATTCTGGGTAGGGGGAGGGTTTTCGATTAGGAATGGGCTGTTTAAATCATGTCAAAACATCACAACTTGATATAAGTCTGGACTTTGACTAGGCCACTCCAAAAGACTTTATTTTGTGTTATTTTTCCATTGAGAGATGACTTGGTGGTATGTTTCCCTTCATTGTTCAGTTGCATAACCCAAGTGTGCTTGAGTTCAGGAAACAAACTGATAGCTGGACATTCAGGATTTTCTGGTAGAAAGCAAAATTCATGGTTCCATTAATTACAAAAAATCATCCAGGTCCTGAAGCAGTAAAGCAGTCCCAGACCACACTACCATGTTTGACTGTTCAAGTTTTGCCTCATTGTTCCCAAGAGTATTTTCCCAAAAGTTTTGGCGATTAACATTTGGTCAGAAGTGGATTTCTACTTGAAATGGTCTCATAAATGCCATTTTTACCCAGTCTCTTTCTTATTGCAGTATTATGAACACTACCTTAACTGAGGCCTCCAGTTTTTGTTGTTCTGGGCTCTTTTATGACCTCCTGAGTCATTGATGCACTCTTGGAGTAATTTGGTTGGCTCCTGGGAAAGTTCACCAGTCAAGTTTTCTCCATTTGTGTATAAGAGCTGGAGTTCCGAACCCTTAGGAATGACTTTGTAACTCTTTCCAGACTGATAGATGTCAGTGACTTTGGTCCTTTTTTAACATCTTTTACCCTTCACTTTGTCAGACAGGTTCTATTTAAGTGATTTCTTGATCCAACAGATCTGGCAGTAAGCAGGCATGGATGTGGCAAGAGAGATTGAACTCCACTTTACAAAAATGTGATTAGTCACAGTTAATTCATAACTACAGGGGTCAATTACGTTTCACATAGGACTAGTTTGGATAATCGTTTCACCTTAATAAATGAAATTATCATTTTAAAAGACTTAACAAAAAACAAGATAACAGGAAGGGGGAAAATACCTTTTAACAGCACTGTATGAATGCATTATAGCTCAGACCAAGCCTTCAAAAGAATTCATTTGAATTTTTCACATTCAGTTCGGGGCAATCAAATTTAGCAATAAAGACGTTAAAAAGGAAGTGATTTCACGATCATTACAACACACTGAGGGGTGTTGTAATTAATAAAAAGTATTTTTATTTCATGGATTAACAACATTAAAGCTAAAATTTACATAAGCCGTAAGTTCAAAGTAAACATGCTCAGTATATACATATAAAACTAACATTTATCCAAGGTATCCTGTACCTGGACTTGTTTCAAAGTAAGGTTTGGCGATATGTAAAAGTTTTCCAACCGACAATCGTCAGTCCAATAAATGACGATAAAGGCATGTGCAGGCGCAGACTTTTTAATGGGTGGAGCAATGTAATCATGCGTGGATTTGCGCATTTAGAATTTATACATTTTGTTTGGAGGGAATATTTTACCTTCTTTTCTTGTTTGTTTCGGTATTAATATAGCTACTTTTCGGATTCTTCATTTATTTATTTATTCATTTATTTATTTAAGAAGGCAGTTGCTGTTTGTTTCCCTCCCCACCATTGTGTTGTTGTTTTTTTATTTAAATAAAATGTTGTTGTTTTTTAACATAGGCTACTGCCTTTCTTTCTGTTATGAATTTGAGTAAATGAATCGCTGCATTTGGGCGCACTCTGAGGAGGGTGCATTTGTTTGCAGATGGAAGAGGGTGCCATTAAAGAGCCCTATTATTTTTTCCATTGACTGCTTCTCTTAGCTTCAACCAACATTATTAGCAAACATACTCATGGGCAAATAAATAAATCGCTCTTCTAAAAACAATCGGTGAAAGGCTCAGCCTATCGTAGATAGTTGATATATTCGTCCAGTCGCCCAACCCTTATTTTAAAGCCACAATTATAAAGGCCTATAAGTACCAAAGTACCTCCTGATCATAATGAAATAAATGTAATTTCAAAATGTCTCAAACTAAAGGGCAAAAGCTGGCCAAAAACCGAGACAGACTGCCCAATATTTTACCATATCTTAACCTTAATGTCGGCAAATATCTCTCCGAACTATGTCTGAAAAATGTAGCTTATTAAACAGTTCGTCATGTATACATTACAAATAAACAATACAATATTTCCCCCCAAACCTTATTCTGCAACTTTCTTGGCTGTGACAGGGAACCCACACTCAGTGCACCAACAAGCCTGGGAGGACAACCTAGCCAAGTCAGCAGGCAAAATTTTTCTTTAGCACAGTCTTTAGCCTGTGGCAATAACGCTGTGTAAACTGGGATTGATTGACAATTTCTGGTAAACTTAGTGGAGCTTTTATTAGAAGTTTAATCATTATGAACGTGGCGGTTAGCACTGTCACCTCACATTAAGAAACTCCTGGGTTTGAATCAAGGCTGGGACCTTTCTGTGTGAAGTCTAGGGGTGGGGGAAAAAATCGATACTATGTAGTATCGTGATATTTTGTTTGCTAATAATGTATCAATACAGGGACAGCAGAAATCGATATTTTGTTACAAAAAAGGTTTTTGTGCTCAGAGCATGTTGATCCTTTTTCTGAACAAGAATCCTGACATTCCTTCACTGTCCAAATGTGTTTAACTTTTTTTTGGCAGCAATAAACATGACAGTTTACTTATTTTAATTTAAGACATCTTTTATTTTAATTAAGTTTAAAACTTTTTTATTTAATGTAAAATTATATTTTGTTTTAATTTACTTTCAAGTTCTTCAGTTGCTGAATGGGCTGCATCGTTTTCATAAATTGCATAGTTCAGAATAGCTATAATTGTACCAGATGGTTACATTCAGTTAAGTTGGGACTAAACTGTAATACAAATGTTCAGTTTGTCAACAATAAAACTGACTGAAATGAGAGAAAGACTGAGTGTGAGACTTTGATATTAGATAAAATGAATATTCATAAAGTTTACCTTTATGTACAGAATCTGAATATCGCAAAATATTTTTAAAAATTGCAATAATATCGTATCGTGCGTTAAGTATTGTGATAATATCGTATCGTGGGATGTATGGTGATTCACACCTCTAGTGAAGTCTGCATGCTCTCACTCCGTCTGCGTGTGTTCACTTTGGGCTCTTGATGTGAATGTGAGCGTGGATGGTTGTCTGTCCTGTGCCAGACTGGTGACCAGTCCAGGGTGTACCCCGCCTCTCACACCATGGCAGCTGACCCAGAAATGGATGGATGGATGTATGCTAATCCAGAAATTCCAGATGAAGATCTGGACTGCATAATGCATACATTTTATATAAATATATAAATATAATATATATGTTAATAAATAAATATAAATGTTACTTAAGTCATATAAGGTGTCTGTTTCACTGAAATCAATAGCTATTCTTTTGCTTTTAGTCCCAAATTCACACAGAATTATCACCTGACTTTGTAGTTTCAATCGGTTTTACAGAGGGCTTTTAGTCCACAGCATCTTTAGTCCACTGTTTTGCTTTGACGGCTCAAAACTTCCCTGAACTTTAGTTCACTCCCCCTGCAGGAAATCAGAGTCATTTTAAACAGCAGGAGGCAGTTGTTTTCAGCAACAAAGCTCTAATAAACTGGATGTGACGATGTGCTAATGCAAATGTATTCATGTTAGCCTTAGAGCCTAAATTATACTGCAAGAACTTTTTTGAGAAGCTTTTTGATACCTGCAGTGACAGAAATGCCTGAAAACAAATATAAACACTTCACCAAATCCCGTAATTCAAGGTAACTGAACCAAAATTAATGGAAGTGCTGTTATTATGTTAATGCACATGACCTTAATCCTCACACAACAGACTCTTTCATCATACAACCGCCTTGATGAAGAGAACACTCCCAAGTCGCTCCCATAGGAATCTTTCTCATCTCTACCAACCTTCTTATCAATCCAATTCAAGAGATTACCTGATTAAATAAAGACCATATATGTACTGTTTATCAGTGGTGAAGCAAACTTGACATGCATCATCATTTCAGAAGCTATAGACACATTCAGCCCCCAGTTTCCAGTTAAAAGGGTTACTCACTGTTTTGTCTGTCCTAAAGAGATCTTTACCTCAGCCTCTTTTTTTTTTTAACTGATAAACCTCTTTGCTTTCTTTTCCCTTGATATTGCAGTGTTCTGCTGATAGACAATAATTGTGTCATACACACGCACACGCACACTAGTGCTCAGCATGCATGTACAAGACACCATCAGACAGGCCCTAATGGATCGTGTCTCATCATCAATTTAGTTGTGAAGTCATGGCCTTAACAGTCAGCTCAATCGCTGTTAGTGTGCTCTTTGTTTCAAGTGCAGCAGGGAAGCACTATAGTAATAAGGCTGCAGGAATCCCTGTAAACCAGAAGAGTCAAACTCAGTTCACGGGCTGCACGCAGGCCGATTCGAT